GGGGGGGGTGGCTGGAGAGATGGCTCAGCGGCTAAGAGTATTAGAGGCTCTCCCAGAGGTCCTGAATTCAATTCCCAGCAACCACATGGTGGCGCACAACCATCTGTAATGAGATCTGGCGCCCTCTTCTGGTCTGCAGGCATACATTCAGATGGAATACTGTATACATAATTAATTAATTAAAAAAATAAAAATAAAACCCTGGGGTGGGCAGGGCTGGAGAGATAGTTCAATGGTTAAGAGCACTGGCTGCTGTTTCAGATGACCCGGGTTCAACTCCCAGCTCACAACTGTCTGTAACTCTACTTCCAGGGGATCTGACACCCTCACACAGACACACATGCAGGCAAAACACCAATGCATATAAAATAAATAAGTAAATCTTAAAAAAGAAAAAAGACCCTGGGGGTTGGAGATATGACTCAGTGGTTAAGAGTACTTGTTGCTCTTAGAGACGAATAGTTTGGTTCCCAACGCCCATGTCTGGTGGCTCACAACCACCTGTAACTCCAGCTCCAGGGCACTCAACAATTTCTGGACCCTGCAGACACTTGTACACACAAGTTCAAATAGATAGGCATATACATACAAATAAAAACAACAACAACAAAAATCTGAAAGAGGAAAAAAAAAAAAGACCTGTGTCCCCAGGGCTAGTCCTTTTCCTAGGTCTGGTTTTACAAATTCTGGTAATAAACCAGGCTTGGTTTATTAGACAATCAGTTGATTTATTATAAGATCTTATAATGACTAAAATTTTAGATTATCTTTTACTAGTCTTAAGAAAAGTGACAGATGGTGGCACATGCCTATAATCCCAGCACTGAGGCCAGCCTGGTCTACAGAGCAGGAAAGCCAGGGCTACACAGAGAAACCCTGTTTCAAAAATCCAAAAAAAGTAACAACAACAACAAAAACCCAGAACAATTACTGTAACAATTTACAATTAATGTCTGAAGAACCTGTACCCACTACAAAGCAAGTTCCAGGACAGCCAGGGCTATACAGAAAAACCCCATAGATGAAAAACAGGAGAGAATGTGTAGCCACTGTACGAAGTTTTGTGATAACCAGTTCCCATTAAATGAATTGTAAAGCTTAAATTCATAGAAAAAAATCTAAAAAATTTACAATTCTAGGAAAAATAAAACTGAGGTAGATAATTTTTTTTCTTTCTTTCTTTTTTTTTTTTTAAAAGGTTGATTTGAGGCTGGAGAGACGGCTCAGCGGTCAAGAGCACTGGCTGCTATTTCAGGGGATTGGGGCTCAATTCTCTGCACCCACATGCAGTTCAAAAATGTCTGCAACTCCAGTTCCAGAGGACTGGACACCCTCACAGAGACATGCATGCAGGTACATCTCATTATAAACGGTTGTGCCCCCAAGAAGTGGGTAAATTCTTAGGAATGACAGCTTATATTGAAATGTGACTAGATAATATTTAATTCTGTAATTTCTAAACTAGATTCTAATTCTAAATTTTCTAAACTGAAAGCATTTCTTTCTTTTTTTCTTTTTCGGGCTTTTAAATTTTTATGTGTATAAGTGTTTTGCTTGCATGTAAGTATATATGCTGTATGTGTGCTTAGTACTCGTGGAGGCCACCAGAGGGCAGTGGGTCCCCTGGGACTAGAGTGACAGATGGTTATGAGCTGCCATGCAGGTGATGGCAACTGAACCCTGGTCCTCTGGAAGAGCAGCCAGTGTTCTTAAGTGCTGAGTCATCTCTCCAGCCCCCTGGAAAGAACTTGACAGTGTCTCAGAGTGCCCCTAGTTCTCATGAAGCAGCACTTCTTTACTGCAATTCTGAAATTATTTTCAATTGCCTAGAGGCAGGATCTCTGTGAGTTCAAGGACAGTCTGGTCTACAGGGCAAGTTCTGGGACCTCAAAGAGAAATCAGTCTTAAAAAAAGAAAAGAAATAAAGAAAGGAAGGAAGGAAGGAAGAAAGAAAACTGCCTAAGAAACAGGTCTTCAAGGACAAAATATCTTCAACCACCAGTAATTCCCAGAGTTCACCAGAAATAGCCTCTCTCAAAGCAGTAGGGAAACTGGCAAACTGATAAGGCTTTTGGCATTCTTCTATTTCAAGGTAAAATTCATCTCAAGGGCAGTTATTTCAAAAACAGTCATGTTACAAACATTGCATTGTAAGTCAGACAATTCCCTTTCTATTTTCATGCAGTAGTTTGCACATAGCACAAGGAACTCAGATTTTCAAGATTACTAAATCTAGTTTACCTTCAGGAATGCTATAATACCAATTCAGTCATTTTATGTAGAGATCCTCTCTCTATATATAGATTATTTCTACTTTAAGGTGCTACAGTCTATAAGAAAGATATAAAATTGCTTCTACCTGTTACCTCAACAAAAGTCAAATGGTACTTTTTGGAAAAAAAAAAAAACAAAACCAAAACCTCACTGTTAATTTTTTCTTTCAGAACAGTTAAGAATGTAAATTCAATGAGCAAGAAACTAAAACAAGAACAACAAAATAAAAACAACAACCAGGCTGAGCACATCTAATCTCAGCATTTAGGAGGTGGATGTAGCTGGAGTTTTCCTCTGTGGTGGAGGCAGTAAGATCAAGACCTGTTCAAGGTCGTCTTCAGGTTACACATGGAGTTCAAAGCCAGTCTGGTGTACGGCTGTAATCACAGCACTTGGAGGGTGAGGCAGGAGGATCTCTGGGAATTCATGGCCAGTGTGGATTACAGAGTGAATCTGAGGCTAGCCTGGACTACATGGCCAGAACTCGTCTCAAAAAGGAAGAGAATGAGAAGTGAAGAGGAGGAGGAAGGGCTGGGGTGGATCTGAAATTGGCTTTTTCCTCTCCAACACAAAAAGAATTGTATGTCGGTGTTTACTTCGAAAAACATGTGAGGTTGGTAGTGAACCACAAACTACAGACGAGTTTTTGAATAAGCAGTTGTGTTTCCGTGGGATTTTCCATAAACATACAAGTTGCATTTGAAGAAAAAAAAAAATTCCTATGGCAACTAGCGCTTATCTCACATCCAGCTCTAAAGTTACCTTTCAAATATTCACCCTCTATTTAACCAGCTTTTTATCATTTTTCATATACCATGGCTTCGGACTAAGGTAGGGAGGCGTAACTTTTTACTTAGAATACTGCGACTGTTAACTTTCCTCCTGCAGCAAGCAGTTCAGCCTGCCAGCTTTTTATCTGTTCTAGAACGAGGGGGTATGCTTACCTATTGTGAGGTCGTGCACAGGCTGGAACCGCTTATCGGTGAACTGCAGGAGGAGACATGACTTCCCCACACCTGAAAAAGGACGGTGTGCAAGAGACACGCCACCCGGGAAGCCGCGGGCTCCCAGGCGGGGCACAGGGTCCACGGCAAGGACAGAGCCCCGCCCCCGGGGCTCGCCCCGCCCCCTCCGCTCAACTCCGCTCG